AAATACTTTATTGGATTGTAAAAGAAAAATATTTAGAGAGTTCTGAATTAATTTAAAATGCACTTGATTTTGTTCAGTAGCATTCGCCATGAAGATACTTTTATTGATTACAAAACAAGCACTTGTAAAGTTTGAATTGCACCTATTTGTAGCTTATAAGCTGATGATAGTGTTCAGACTGTATTTATATGATTAGGATCCTTGTTTAGGTTACACATTTTCTTTGGTGCATTTCTCAGATCAGCTGTTCAGCCCCCACATCATACAGTCACCAGCACAACATGAACGTAATTTCTTATCCTTTGAACAAAATTGCAAAGGCTTTGGTATGTTAATGTACATGATTTTCTACAGCTGTCTTCTGTTTGGCATGTTATCAATGTCATGTTAATCAAAATGGATTATATTGCTTCTTTGTTGAAAAGTCTTAACCCCTAAAACATGCAGTTCATTGCATAAGTTATTACAGACAAAATGGATGAACCAGTTGTCATCATCTGTCAAATGTATTTTGTGTATGTTTCTATTTTACATTTTAGTGGATGTGCCCTGACATGACCATGTCTCTGTGATACAAAAACAACAACAACAACAACAACAATAAGACAAGCCTGTTTGGCAACACTGTTTAGCAATAAGTCAAAAATACAAAATTAGAAATGTGAACATAGGAAACAGCCCCAGGCAGAGCTGTATATGCAGCTCTGTATGGAGAATTAGAGTGCAGTGTTTGAACACCTCCTGACGTTCCTGTCTGTCGGGCCACAGATGCTCATCCACATCACTGCGGATATGTTTTCTTGAATTGCAGCACAGACGGAATCTTTTGGATTGTCTTATCCAGCCTCTGCAGTCATCTGCTGCTGTTTGTTTCCTTTGTGCGATGCAGTGCCGTCTATATTGCAAATGGCATGGTCTGCCGACAAATTACAGGACAAACCGTAAATGTGAATTCTGTCCATTCCCTTGTAATCCATCTCCCACGTGCCGTAATGCGTAATTCTGTACAGTTGAAACTGATATATGCTTAGTCACACACACACACAAAAAAGGGCACTCCAAGAGTACACACTGTTCCACTGAAGTATTTTAACCAATCTTGATCTGATTTGTTCACAGTAGCAAATGGCACTGATGTTTCCACTGACATCAATATTTACTTCTGAGAGATAATCTAAGGGTTTTGAGCAAGTTACAGATTTTTGCAGGTAATGCACTGAGTGGTGTTGTGTGTCAGATTGTTTTGCACTTACTGTTTTTTCAAATGTGATGGATGATTTGAAAAAATGTACCAAAGTGACTGAGAAAAACTGTAATAAGCAAATTGTTTCACATGAAAACAAACTGTACATGCTGGATTCCATCAGGGGATGCTGCAGAAAGGGGTTGAATAAACATGATGAGTCACACAGTCCTCACAGGTACAGTGCTTTCCAAATCTCCTTTTCCTTTCAATACAGCTTACAAAGTACATACTGTTGCATCCAGTATTCACACAGTTGGGAGATGCTACTTTGTCATAATATTGCGCCTCAAGCTTTGACCGTCGTGCTCATATATCTATCACAGTCTGCATGTGAGAAAATTATTGTAACAATCTCTTTCTTATAAAGCACTTTTCAAAATCCAGGTTACAAAGTGCCTCACACAAAAGACGACGATAAATAAAAGATAAAAAACCCACATGGTGAATAAAACCAATACAGCATTAAAAGAGGTAGTAACATTCTTGAAAGAAATAAAAGAAGTTTAAAGGAAATAAAAACTCAAGTAAAACCAGGAAATGATTAAACTATGTTTTAGGAAGAGACCTAAAAGGCTGACTCACTGACTCACCTGACCTGATTCCTTCGAGCAGATTGTTCCAGAGCCTCAGGGCCCTGACTGCAAACACTGTGTCCCTTTTAGTTTTAAGTCAGGCCCCTGGAACAGATAAAAGACCTCTGCTCGAGGATGTCAAAGTGTGTACTGGTGCATATGGAACTAAAAGGTCAGAGACATAACCAGGAGAGAGGCCATGAAGGGCTTCGAAAGGGATTCAGTAAAATCTGAAAATCTATCCCAAAACATGCTGGAGGTCAGTGTAATGAGGCTAAAGCAGGAGTGATGTTCTGAGTTCTTGTTAAAAGTCGAGTTCTGAATTACCTGGAGTCGATCAACAGATTTTTTTGTTCAGGCAGGTAAGAAGACTGTTACCAGACTACTCCAAGGATGAAGGAATAAAAGCATGTAAAATGATCTCAGTATCTTAAAAAGGTAAAATAAGCCATAGTTTTGAAATATTTCTAAGACATTAACACTGGGCTAAGAGGAGCTAATATATTCAGCATAAAAATGAAAAGAGACACCATATTTCTGACTAATGTGTCCAAGTGGAAGCATGTATAATAATGAAAACAGAATTGGTCCCAACACCAATCCCTGTTGCACACCAAACTTAACAGAAGAAATTGATAAGTGATGACAAATACACAGAACCACCTTTTTGACAAATATGATGTGAACCAATCTGAAACCATCCCAGATACCCCCCACCCACTGTCTCAGTCTGTTGAGCAGGATGCTGTGATGAACTTTGTCAAAGGCTGTGCTGAGGTCCAGCTGCATCATTAGTGACCCTGAGCAGCCTCAGTGTCTCTGGAACCTAAACTGAAACTTTTTTAAAAATGTTGTTTCCTAATGCAGACAAAAGTTGATTGGACAACTTTTGAAAAGTAGCTTGGAAATAGGTATATAGCTTTTAGAATGAGGGAGATCCAGTTTGGGTTTTTTCAGCAGTGAGTTCACACAAGTGTAAGAGCACAGGTGTATCACAGCTGCTTTTGAGTTGCTTTTTTTTTTTTTATTCCATGCCTATTTCTTGATACTGAAAATCTGTACATTTTAGTTTGTTGTTGCAACTTTTGCAATGTTCGGTGTTTCCACTGACATGGAAAAGTTGTTAAAATGGTGTGGATTCGTGTCAAGCTGGAGAACGGATCCTGAAAATGCAGTTTAAAGGCGATGCCACAAACACAATCATACTTAACAATGTCTTCGACCAACATATGATATCAAATGTGTATGAATAGATATAAACCTCATTCCTCCTATTTACATTTCTTTTTAAACCTCCTTTCCTCTCTCTGGCTATCTTACAACACTCTTTCCTCTAATCTTTATTCGTGCTCTATTGGCCTGCATCATTACAGTCTCCTGCCTGCCATTAACAATGTGCTGTATTCTCCTCGTAGAGCGTGTTCCCAACCAAGAAGGGTAATTGCGATTTGAGGCTCCTCTCTCACCCCGCAGCTTCCACACCTCTCTGTAGCTGCAGCTGTCAAGACACCCTCGGCAGTTTGTGATCAGACAGTGTTGGGTGCAAATATGGTGTGCAATATAACTCCGTGTTCTCCCACCAAGTGGCACTGACAGCAATGTGCGCAGGTTTTCATTAGAAGCACGCTCTGTACCCGCTGATACGACCGCGTGCTTGTGTATTAATTATTGAGCGTCTTTATTTTGAGATCTATATAGTTTTTCATTGATGGCCACGGGTGTAGAGGGTCTGCAGAGGAACAAAGGGACAGGGCTGTGTGTAGGAGTGAATCACACAGCCTCGGTTCATGTCAGTGTAGCAGTGTGGAAGCACGGATCAGTTCTCCATAATCCCGCAGGTGCCATGTGTTGGTTACAGACCCAACATGAATGACTTTATCTGTGATAATGACTGTATTAACAGAGAGAACAACCAATTACTGTTTCATCCTAGAAAACGATGCTTGTTTGCAGAGATGTAGCTGCAAAAATCACCAACCTCCGACCTGCACAGACAGCTGTACAGGATTGTGAAGAAGACTGTGAATGCAAATAAACATGCAAACCATGCGGAGAGTGGAGGTGTCTGCCGGAGACAGCCAGCGAGCATGTTCTGCAAACAGAGGTCTGTGTAGCCATTTCATTTAGAAGTGTTAATGCCAATAACCAGGCGTGTTTGCCTTCTTGCTTGGATGGAGGAGGAGGAGGAGAAAGAGGAGAAGGAGGAGGGCTGCAATTTACCGATACTTGGCTGAGTTCTGACGCCAGCATCGAAGTGATGTAAGAGACGGAGGGAGGGAGGAAAGCCGAGAAGGAGGAGAGAAGAAGCAGAGAGAGAGAGAGAGGGGAGAGAGAGAGGAGAGGAGAGGAGAGGGGGAGGGAGGTCTGAGCTCTGATATTCTCCTCACTTTCGGAGATCCAGACACAGAGCAACTCCCCAGCGGGTATCCTAACAGAGGTAGGCTGGCTTCTCACACTTCCACTCTCAATACTGCACACTTATTATATCCAGAAAATTCAAATGCATTAACTTCTTTTGAATTTTACTTGACACACAAATTCTACATTAGCCAGTTAAGTGCTGCAATGGTGTGATGCTTAATGTAAAGATAACACCGGCTGCCACGTTCATGTGGAAGATATTTTTGCTGTGTGGGTGTTACCAAGTTAAATGCGTCGCGCAAACTGCAAGAATGAATTCTTTAATCTGTCAAGTTATGTGGACGCCTGCTAATTAATTAATGACGTGTCTCCTACGTGAGAATAATACCTAATGAGCTCATTTGGCTTATTTGTTCCCCCCCAGCCTAACTTTGTCTCCAGCAGAACTGACTGGGTCTCCAGGAATCAGCACCTTGGACAGCGACGCGCCGCGGCTCTGGCACCGCAGCTCAGCCCGGGGAGAGCGCACCGAGCCCGGCCATCCATCTGCTCCCGTCCCGGTCAGGATATGATGTTCTCCTGTCACGGCTCCCCGATGGCTCGCAATGGGCTTTAGTGCTTCCACTGCGTAACGACAGCAGAGAATGCCCTTGACATCAGTCCACACAGAGTTGCGTTCAGCATGACGGCTACACAGGGCAAAGAGCGAGCAGGGGAAGACTCGGCGGCGAAACTTACACAAGACTGAACCTTTGCATGTTTAACCAGAGTTGAAAATGTCTTTGCCAGCACATTAGACTAGAAGAGTTCTTCACACTACAATGGGGATAAGGCACCTTTTGTTGCTGCTCATATACCTGGACCCGCTGAGCGTCCTGAGCGCCGCTACGGGCGGTAAGAAACCCAAGCCGGGCCCCAAGAAGCCCAAAGCCACCCCGGTGCCCACGGTGGTCCCGCAGAAGACCCCGCAGCCGGCGCCCGCCAGCAACCACGACACCTGCCTGGGCTACTACGACGTGAGCGGGCAGTACGACAAAATGTTCGAGTGCAACAACACGGACCATCGGTACTGCTGCGGGACGTGCTTCCTGCGCTTTTGCTGCGAGTACAAGAAGGACCGGCTAGATCAGAAAGCCTGCAGGAACTACCAAACACCGACCTGGGTGCAGACGGTCGCCCCGTCGCCCATCCCCACCGGGGAAACCTACGATCCGAGCATGGATCAGACCAACACAGCGGTCTATATCACCTGTGGGATCATAGCCTTCATCATAGTGCTGGGAGTGTCCGCCAAAGTTGCGTATGACAAAGCCACAGAGCCGCCTCAGGAAATGAATATACACAGGTGAGTGGGAGGAGGACTGTTTAAAATCACACAGTGACAAGTTAGAAGGAGTTGTCAGTACAGGTTAGCATCTCTTTCCTTTGCGTTTTGTACTCCCGCCTCCTTGGCAACATAAAGAAAGGCAGAGCCATAACAAGAAGCATCAGTAGAAGTGTGCACTTTGACTGGACAGGCAGACACACATTTGCAAAAAGGGGTCAGAGGTCAAAGAAACAAGCCACTAGTGATGTCAAATGCAGTAATTTTCATTATACCAGCATTCAACTTGTGGTTTCTTTCTCTGTATCAGAAATACTGAAGTGGCAACGAGGCTGGCAGTGTGTTTAACTTAATTAACAGATTGTTATCTGAAGCCACAACCTTTCAGATCAGATTCTATCAGACCGGCAGCAGATGTTAAATCCCGAAGAATGAAAGCCTAAAATAATTACAGAGAAGTTGAAAGAGAGCTATTACAGTGATTGTTGTAGGTTGGTGCTCATGAAGCGAGTGTGTGCATCTGCTACGTGTGGGAGTGAGCAGGACTGATGCCCAACATTCACGTTGCAGATCGGAGCTTCAGATCTCTGAGAAAGGTTAAAAAAAGAAGACGTCCCCTCATGTGAGTCTAACACTAGCCCAGATATTTTGGCTCAAGAGGAATCAAGTCAAGGCAGCCAGCTGTCAGACATCATACTTCACGACCTAGCCCCAGACCTCCGCCCCCGCCTCCACCCTGTGCACATCGGCACATGGCTGTCTGGTGTGTTCAGGTGGGGATTGTGACTAAAATGCTGGGGTACCATGGTGAACGGCTGCCTCTCACCTCCTCAGCTGGCTCCTACTTCCACCTGGGGCTTCACCATATGAGAATCATCATCCATGAGTGGACCACATGTTGTAGACTACAGCCACATCAGTGAACAAATGCTGACACACATTATTTCCTCAAGATTGAATAGTTTTTTTGTGCGTGTATGCATTATTTAACACTTGAGCAATCTTAAGACTGTGAATAATGGATAGTGTTAACGTTGGGGCTGTATCAAGGTCGTGTGACATGCATGCACCACTGCACATTCAATAAGGAACAGGAAGAGGGGAGGAGGGGGGCGCAAAGCTAAAATATTAATTTAAAAGCAAAGGTTACATTGCTGCTACATCGGTCGCACAAAAGCTTTGAGCTGATGCAGTGCTGCAAAAGTCATTTGATTTGCTTTTTCAAAAGCGATGCCAGAAAAAGCAAACAAACACTTTTTGAACTTTCTTTCATCGTGATTGCTTCTCTCCCTCTCCTCCACTCCCCCCACCTCCCCCACCCCCCTCCAGGGCTTCATCCTTCCATATGCACCTGGTGCGGTCTGAAAAACATTCAAATTCAACCCAATTAGGCGAGATACTCACACATCCAATGTTGTTTCTCTTGCAAATGAACATTCGTCATGTTCCCAGATGTAAAAAAAAAAAAGACGTGAGAGAAGAAGAAGAAGAAGAAACAGATCAGCTTTGAATTACCCATAATGGCACAACACTGTCTTCACAATTAGCAGCCATTTGGCGAGCAGAGAACAGGCGTGCTATCACTTCATTTTTAACTCGGTTAAACTGCGCTGTCACAGAGACGAACTGTACAAAGCGCAAAAACGTCTTTCTGGTGTCGTATTAACATTTGCCCTTGGTTTTCTTGTGTTTTTGTTTGTTTTCAGGGCCCTTGCAGACATCCTGAGGCAGCAGGGGCCCATCCCCATATCTCAATACGACTGTGAGAACTTTGCTGCGATGAACGGCTCACCCAAAGACAACACACCAGTCAGAACCTCGTCCAAGAACCACTACACCCCTGTTCACACCTCCAAATCCAACCACGGTAAGAGCTCTCCTCTCACTCCGCTCCGAGCTGAAAGCCCTAAAGCTTCACAAGCATCCACTAGTTTATGTGTCATGACTGTTGGTCAAATATAGCTTAAAGGCAGATTTCAGCAGTTTAACTCTTTGCCTCCACCCCTCTCAGCATGTCTGTGTGTTGCATTTGCGGTTCATTTTTTCCCTACAGAATTATGCGTTCTCCTCCAAAGGGCACCCACTGTGCTCGTCCTTCCAGCAGTATAATCTCCAATAGTAACATCCTGTAATCATCCGATTCAAGCAAAAGCAAAGAGAGTGCGAGGGGAGAGAGTGACAGAGGGAAAAAAGAGGGGCCCGCTAGTGGAGATAATTACAGGCTGGCAAGGTAGAGCGGCCCTGCAGACTCTGACAGGCTGGAAGTGATGACCTCTCACTCAGTGAATCAGACACAGCGCACACAGCATGATTTAACCCCGCAATTCTGAGAACAGACAGGGAGCATAAATCGGTAATATGGCCCGAAAACTGCACACACACACACACACACACAAAAAAAAACCCAGAGTCCAGGTTTTCAGTCAGGCAAGTTCTCAGGCAAAGCAGGTGTTATCAGATGGAGAGGCAAAGACACTTGGGGAGAGGGACACAGATGGAAAATAATGAGATATTACAAAGGAGTCGCTGGGATGGAAAGAAAAACACAACGATGTTAAGCGTCAGTGTGCAGGACAGACAAAGAAATATACGGTGTGAAAAAAGGTAGGTGTTAATTTTGCAGCTGTTACAGCATCAACATGATGGCGTGTAGTCAGACTCTGCTGTTACGTGACTTCTTGTTTTTTCTCTTTCTTTTGCTTTTTATATAAAACAAAAAAACAAAAAACAAATTGAACTTCATAGCATGAATTCGCTTTTTTCAATAAAAAAAACATGACTACGCGTACCTCCATCCCCTCCTACCCAGATATTAAACCCCAAATGTGTCCGAAAAACAAGCATATTTAAATGTGGTCATCTGAATTGTAGGATCTGGTTCAAGGACAAAAATTCCTTAACGCGTCCTGTAACAATGAATCATTACAAGCTGAAAACAGGGCTGTTGTCATGAAAAACTGATTGAAATTGATGAACCTGATCAAGGTTCCTTTCACACCTATAGACCTTTAAATGCACACTGACCAGCGCCTTGATGTTACATTATAATTCATCTCCATCACATACGGCTACCCTGATCGTTTTTAACCTAAAATCTACTGTACGGTCACTGCTCCGCATTGTCAAATGGAAAATCATGACCATTCATCAAGTCCTCATACAACATATAAATATTCCAAAGGGTCAAAAAACCTTCTGTGGCCTCAGAAAGGAGGAGTTACCAGATATTATATGTAAAATGAGACTTTTATTGACCTCTGCTGGTTCTGACTGAGCTGCAGAAACATATACCACAGCAGCACCTGATAAAGAACATGTAGGTGTCCTGTTTGATTTGTGCTACAGGACAGCAACAATCTCTTTGAATCTTTGTCTGTAAATAATAGATCGTGCATAGTCTCAGCTTTATTTGCGTTTGCAGCCTCTTGTATGCCATGTAAACTTGGCCTCTTTCTGCCACTTCCTCATCTATCACATACTTGCAGGGAACATTTTTCCTGCAGCTCAGTGTTCGTTGCGACCGCAGTCTGCGTTCATTCACTTAGTGCCTCCGCTGCTCTGCTGCTCCATCAGTCCATTCCTAATGGTCACTAGCCGGCCATGCAGGGGACACGGCTGATACGCAGCTGCATGTGGCAGGCTGCCTTCAGTATGACCTTGCATGCATTTATACTCACTAAGGGTCGGGCATCGCTTTATCTGTCTATCTGTCACTGTGCTTGGCCGCAAGTAATTTTGCCTGCTTGCACACAAAATCAGTTTAAAGAGAACACAACTCAGGCCGGCTCTGCTCAGTCTACCCCAGCCAAACCCCCACACCCCCTCACATCAGGGACCACAGCAGTCCTGACGGGGTTGGACATGAAAGGCAGTGACAGCGCAGGCGAAAGCGTGGTTAATGTGTGCATATAAATTGGGAGCTCCACGGTGCTGCGGAGAGGGAGCCCACTCGCTCTCATAGAAAATGCATATTCAAGTGCACCTAAATGGGCATTTGGCACAGAACGGAGAGGCAGGCCTTTTAGGAGAGGGTCCTAGGGTGGAGTCGTCGCTGCTGAGTTTGGCACTTCACATCCAGAGGCTTTTTGAAACACTTTTAAATCAGGTGGAGAGACCTCATAAAACAAGTAGCTAAAGGGCCCAAGAGGATCCTATCAACTTATGTCAAGAGTGGGAATAACATCCATTTCTCCTTTGATCCTCAGCATGTAACGATGCCCAGTTGCTCTCTGCGGCAGTCACGTCCTCACCAAAGTATTTTTTTTACCCCCAGGACCTTTGTTTAGGCCCACTTCTAAAAATACATGCTGAATTATTTTTTCACATTGCAGGCCTTGTGTGGCGACATGGTACCCTTGGTGCATTGCAAAAGTTCCCCACATTTTTAGAACAACATATTCCTTTTTTACAAAAAAAAAAAAGCCTAAAGCAAAAACACTACAGACAGCATAATATGATACCAGTGCAAGTGCTGCTATTTTTATTCGAATCCACTCTGCGTTGTTGTGGGGCACAGATCTTCTTTTAGGTCGGGGTGTAAACACAGAGTTCGCCTTTGGTTAAAGTAAACAATAACTGCTTCTCTGCGTAATGCAGTTTGGCCCACAGCTCTCCTCAGATGAAGTTGATTTATTTACCGCACACTACAGGCAAAGATTTGCCTATTTTTTTGTTTTTCAAAAAGTGTTGCTTGGTTTCCTTTCTGACATTTTCTTAATGCCCAGAATGATGAAATATAGTTTGCAGGTAGTGCAGGGAGTTGCTGTTTCTTCTTTCTCAGTTTACTCAACAGAAACCAAAGAAAAAAAACAATTACTCCCATAGAGCAGTTCTTAAAAAAAAAAAAAGAATAGGCAAATTGGAATATGAGTTATGGGGGCTGTGTTCACTGCATCACAAATATCAGAATAAACAGAATGACTGTAAAAATGCATGCTCATGTCTGCTTGTGTCTTTATATGTCTGAGCTCCCACGTTAGAGCACTCGAGGAATTTGAGCAGTCTGTTAATTTTGTTTGAGATGTGCAAACTCCCGAGCTGAAAGGTCAGCTGCTGTGGACAATTAGAGGTTGTGATGATAGAATAATATTTGCAGCTATTTAACAGCTTTGACCTTCACATATTTGTAAAGCATCACACTCTGTCTGCGGCTTCTCTCCACCCAAACCACAAATTTGGCCTAAATAACAAAACAGTGATTTAAATATTTGAATTATTTGCCGATAGGCATTTTTATTTTCATATTCGGTGAGCCATCACGCCCTAACCGCTACCACATACACACACACATGCAAAGCACCTCCCTCCTCTTCCTACAACCTTCCTCCAATTAATCCGTACAGCGTGCAGCTATAACATCTCCGCTGTGACCTGGCTGGCTCCCCATTGGCCAGATAATCATCACCCCCATGTTAAAAACAACATTTCTGTGCTGACTGCATCAACATGTTTATTTGTAGCTTCCTCCTGAGTGCACCTGTGTTAAACCTCAGCATCTGAGAGACCCCACCTAATTGTCTTCTGCCCTAGATCTCATTATTGCCCCTTATTATACAGCTGGACCTCTGGCCCTTTGAGTGTACATATATGTATGTGTGTGTGTGTGTGTGTGTGTGTGCGCATGTGTGTGGTGGAGTTTGTTTCAGGTGTGGAAGCAGAGATCCATCAGCTTCTCTTTCCGGTAGCAGTCCTGGTTAATTATGACCCATTGTGGATCAGGACTTACTGCACTGCACCATTGATTTCATGAGAGGGCAGGGGCAGCATTAAAAGAAAAGGGGCATGTGTTTGCCAAGATGGCATTTAAAAAGCTCTATTTTTTATATCTTAAGAGGAGCCAGCGTGTATCACAGGCTGGGACACAGTGCAAGAGGAGGGCGAAGAGATGAAGATATGCAACGCTGAGCTCCGGCTGAAAGGCTTTGTCAAGATGATGTACACAGTTCCACGTCCACTCCAGCAGATCAGCATCTGATACTGCTATAAAATCAGTATACTGTGTACTGTAAATTACCTCTGCCTGGCTGTGTTAAAGCCTAATCGACCTTGGATTCGGGTAACCTCTCTGATGCCAACTACACAGAACCACATCCAGCTCGGTTCATGATATAATTATCTTATTATTCACATTTTTCCACTGTCAGAGTTAATTCAGAGGTGTTCAGTGAAGAAGCCTGATTAAAAAAGTATTACCATATGAATTCTCAGCGCCCGCTAGCTCAGAAACCCGTTCATTTCCATGGCACGTCGTTGAGATGAAAGTCACGATTTTCTTTGTATCAAGGACGATAAATTCATAATGCACAGCCTTCCTTCTGCAGCCTCTTCATGCTACCTCACCTTAATGAGCTGGGAACGGGAGGGAAAAAAAGGAGGGTGGTTGCTTTTGAAGGGTCTTTCAGATTCAAGGGTTGTCGCAGTGGGTCGTGGAGTGGCCTACCAATGACAAAGGTGACAAAGGAAGACAACAATAGCGTGTTTGTGTGCGTGTCACACACAGACTCGCCAGTATGATTGAATGGGAAAAATAACCCCAGCAGATACTCCATCTGCAGCCATGAAAGCAGCGCAGGGAGAGGTGTGATTGAGTTCAAAGTGCATCGGTATGTGGGTGCTGGAAGCATATTGCTTTTTTTTTTTTCGACTGCAGATCGTCGCACTGTGTTTTCTTGTATAGTTCACATTTGAGCCATTTCCCCTCCGTCTGTGCCTGAGGAAAGTGACACCACAGGGAAGTTTTCCATTTGACACCATGAAAAACACACAACTGGGGCCAATGAGAACATGATGGAAAAGCACAAATGCTGTTTTTTGTTATTTTTAACAGGTGTCCTGACACACTTTGTTTGAGCTAATTTATTTCCCAACTGTTTGACTTGTGACCGGTGAACTCCACTGATTAGAGCTCAAACAGCAGAGCCAGAAACAGAAAAATAATCTGCAACAATTGTGACAATCAGCTGATGCACTGCTTTGAATACAACGCATCTTAAAACGGAGCGCCACTGATTGTAAATTCAAAGTCTGTTTACAGGTGACTGAATATTAGCGCTGCATATGTAAAAGTATAAAGGCTTTTAGTCTCAAGAGGAAGCTGTGTGAAGTCTGATACAGCGCCTCAGGTTATGTCACTTGAATCAATGTTGGCCAAGGCTGTAGACTACAAGTTTAAAAAGTAAGACAATCTGTTGGAACAGAGTTAGAAACAAGTGAGCGTACCAGACCTCTTCACCTGCTGCAGGCTACATTAAGGCTTTAATACACTTGGCTGTGGATGTGCACACAGATGGCTGTAGACACTGATGTAAACTTATTGTTATTATACTACTTTTCCAGTCTGCTGTAATCCACCTGGAGGACTCTGTTACATACATGCACAGTAGGTCGTGTTTATGTAGTCCCTGCATGCACACTACTGACCTTGTTGTGTAGCTGCCTCGAGGGCACAAATTTTTGGCTGCCCTCAGACATGTGAGGAGAGGTCTGCACAAACTCTCGTGGACTTGAGGAGATGAAGAAATGTATGCCTTAAGTAAGCCAGTATTATACTTTTTGCGTGTATGTAATGATAATAATAATAATTGATCAGATTTATATAGCGCTTTTCTCGGCACTCAAAGACGCTTTACACTGTCAATTATTCATTCACACACATTCATTCCGGTGGTGGTAGCTACGATTGTAGCCACAGTTGCCCTGGGGCAGACTGACAGAGGCGTGGTTGCTATACTGTGCCTACGGCCCCTCCGACCACCACCTCAAATAATCCATTCATATGCATGTGAGGGTTCTTGTGACATAAATTTCGTCATCGATCATTAGTGTGATCATCATAGACACACAACTGCCACAAATCCCTTTGATTGGCCGGTTTGAATTGTTGAACTATTCTTCCACAATTCAGTTGAGAAATGCATGACGTTGCCTCTTTCAAAGAGAATGAGAAATGTGACGACTAAAGCCCGAAATATGTACGAGTTCAGACTAACGCATTACTTAGAAACGCTAAATAAAGTCAACTTACTTTTGTCAGAAGAAAATATGGAGTTTAAGAGATTTGAAAGGACTCATTCCAGTAATGCTCTGTAACTTTGACATTTTAGCATTTTGTTGATGGAGGGTTTATTTAAGCTCAAGTCTCATCATTCATCATTTTACCATTATCTGACATATAGGATTATTTGATAAATCAACAACAACAAAAAAAAAATGATTAGTCAGTAATCGAAATAATCATTAGTTGCAGCCCTAAAAAAATAGTTTTCTACCTTGTGAACATTTCTATGTTGTGGTTGTTATATGCTGGAGGACATATGAGTGAAATAAGTAGCCACCACCATGGCTGAGTATTTTCACCTTGTAACTGCAGCTTATCGATGACTGAAAACTACAGATTCAGACTTCTTTGGTTTCAAATGTAACTCACATGAGAAACCAAATCTGCCAACTTGCAGGGTGGGACTTTCCTTTTTCATTATTCTTCTTCAGCGTCAGTTTCTGATTTGAACATGTACGGCTAAATTACTCCAAAACTTACAACTTGACAGTATGTAGCATGAAGTAGTTGAACAGTGTTTGAGCAGAGTGGTAGGTGAGCTGGTGTGCTCCAGCTGTAGTGAGAGAGGCACAGAGAGGAGTCTTTTGGGGTAAAAATCAATGAGCAGAGAGGGGCTTTAAATTTAACCAGGATGTAAATACGCACTTGAATCGAAGGTTGGGGACGTTTTAGTTTTTTTTTGTCCTATTGCAGATAGACAACAAAGTAACTCTAATGGTGCGTTTTCATGCATCTGTTTTTATTATTCATGTCTTGGCAGTTTGTGAAGTTATGTCATGGAGTGTTGGGAGGCTGCTGATTGTGACGCTCCTTGTTTTTTGATTTTTAACATAGTTAAGGTGAAGTAAAAAAAAAAAAAAAGAGCTGAGCCTCCATTTCTGAAGAGCATTAAAACAAGTACGAGTCCAAGCTGTTGCTCCAGTGTGCATTTATAAGTGAGATTGGAACATTAGTCTCTACTACGGCTCAGACTCACTTGGTATTTTAACATCGAGGTATTTGTTCTGTGTTTTAGCAGATAGCCGATATGTGGTGTTTCTTGTTTTCTGAAATGTTAATACAATTTTAGAATCATATGACTTTTCAGGTCTGATTTTTTTTTTTTTGGTGGGGAGCATAATTTGTTTTCTGTCTTGTCTTTGTTTCTTTTCTCGTAATTGTAACCCATTATTATCGCTGTCTGTCTTGGCCAGGACACTCTCACTATCTCAATGACTGGTTACTTACTCATGAAATAAAATTTAAATAAATTAAATATATATATAAAAAAAGACATATCCTATAATTAATAGCAATTTTGTTACACCCTCTCTGCCTGTAAATACTCACATCTTTCAGACTCTGCGTCTTCAGTCTCTAACTCTGGGCTCAGACATCCTTCTGATGTTATCCGGTTTATTTTTTCAGACTTGACAAAGCCACAAAAGAAATTACACGACTGTGGTTGGAGGCTGAATGGAAGTGCAAATGACTTGCAAAAGGATATTGTAGAGTAAAACCTGTGTGTGTTTTTTGAATAACTTTGAGGGGATGTTTAGCTGTAATTATGAGGGAAAAAAAGACAAAAGTTCTTTGTGTTTAGTCAATCTGGTAATTGTACCCCTTGCTGAGGCCTCGACCCCAGTTTAGGAGCCACTATTTTGACTGTAGATAATAATAATTATGCTTCACTGATCAAAATACTAAGTGTGTGTTTCTCTATCTGCCCGACTGATTGTGTGTGTGTTGCTGCATGGCGGCCCTGCACGCCTGCCTTGGTGTGTGTGTGTGTGTGTGATCAGGTCTCCACTATGGAAAGGAGAGCGTCCGGAGCAGCGGAGGCGCCGACCTTCACAACTTCATCTCCTCTGGCTTTGTGACGTTGGGTCGGGGCCATCAGAAAGGTAAAGTACCCTTTCTTTCCTTCTTTCCTTCCCTTTTTTTTTTCTCACAGGAGATTGAATTGACTCTTCTTGTCTGCCAACACTGTGCTGTATACCTGCTGAATGCTAAAGCGACTCACTAATGTTCCACTTGCAACACCGGTGATCAACAACAAGACACCCGACGGAGGTGAAATGTTTCCAGATTCAATTTCCCTCTCCGAGCCATTCACATGAACTCTTGCCTCTACATTTTACAATTAAATACTAGCGTGTGTGTGTGTGTGTGTGTGTGTGTGTCTATGTGTGTGTGTTGCGGGGCGACCTCTTTTACCTGCTTTCACATTTTTAATTGAATGCTTTCATGGCAGATGAGTGCTTTAGTAAAAATCGACATGATTTACATGTAACTCCGCTGCTGTGTATTTTAATGTTTTTCTGCTCTTTCTCTTTGCTATCAAAACCTGCTGATTTCCAGCTCATCATCCTAATTACAGCAACTCATGACCTGCCGGAGCTTTAGTACCAGTTCAGATTTATGTGTTGCTTGGCAGACATGTGTGGCTTATCCGCTTTCACCGGCTTTGTTTCCAAGCGCACAAAACTGCAGGGGCCTGGAAGTTTCTCTCTCCTCTTACTTCTAATGAGGAAGCATTGTATTTATGTTTACATGAAATTAGCTGTTTTTCTCCTTGCTTTTTGCTTTGTTTATTTTCATCCCCAGAGGGGGTCCGTTTCATGATGGTATTCATATGCAGCAAGAAAAAAAAGATCTCTGATATTCTCTGTAGTCCCCTCCTCATGCTTCTCTACCAGAGATGAGTAATGAGAAAAAAAAAATGATTAGGTTTTATGAATTCTAATTCTTTTAAATAGATTTCCCCCCCTTGTACAAATATCACAATAGCAGCACTCCCGCATCCCTGCCTATATACTCGTCGCATCAGCAGCATGGGGTACGGTTCTGTGTTTAGCATCTGTGCAGTTAAATCTGTGTTTTCTTGCAGCGGGTAGCCTTTGATTCCTCTGCTGCAAAAACAAATGAAATGTGACAGATTGAGATCTTGGAAAGGCCTGCTGACGCTAAAATTTCTGACAAAAAAAAAAAAGTATGTGAAGCATGTGCAAGAGCGTCGGTTCTTTAGCAGCATTCTTCTTTCCAACATCTCTGTTTGGCTGCCTCGTGCCCAGAGGCAGGTATTACTGTGGATTGAATCCTAAAATCAATAAAACACTGGTCTGAAGTTTGGTTTAGATATTGTTGCTGCTTGGTATTATCTTTAGCTTTTCGATAGTGTACAATCACTTCAGGGCAGCGGAGTGGAACGAACAGTTGAACCAAACCTCCCCCACTCTCTCATAGTCTCTTACACGCGCTCTCCAAATCTGCAAAAAGAGAACAGCTTAAAATGCATAATATATCACTTGTCTCCGTAACTGACTGAAGAATATAAATGGCTCCTACCTACAGAAGAGTCAGTGTTTTTGACAACTCGCATTTATCTTTCCAGTCTAATGATTTACAGATTGTTAGAAAATCACTTGAGCTGTCACTTGACCTTCTTTGAATTTATCTAAAATCTGTGGATGGATTTTAAATGTCCTGAGAGGTGAACCTGTGGGCTGATGGGAACCTGCAGCGATGAGATGAGTCACGTTAAGGTTAACAGTCCAGCTGAATTTAAATCATACCGAGCTTCATTATTTTTTGAAGAGGTTTGCACAGCTTGGTTTGCTCTGGCTGACAGTAACAAAGCTGGGGAAAAAAAAAGAGTGCAAATAAATATTCACAGGTCAGTCAGTGGAAAAATCCTGCTTCCACATGAGTCTGGGAACAGATGTTGTCTTCTTCGCCATGTCTCAGTTGTTGTTTTTTTTTTAGTGTATATATGTTTTTTGCTACACTGACAGAACAAGGTTTCGGAGTCATGATGTCCTCTGGCCTGGATAAGCATGACGTCTGCTGCGGTGCTTAATTATACAGGCGGAAAGTGTGTTTGGTTGTTAATTATATGGCGAGCTACGTGAGTGTGTGTGTGTTGCGGCGCAGCCCTTGGGGAGGACAGGTGAGGTCAGGGGGTGTTGCTGAGCGTCAGAGCAGCTGGATGCTTCACATCTGTGTGGCAGGATACAAAACAACCATGTGCTAAACAAGATCAGCGCCAGGGAGGGAAGCCAACATCCAAACTCAGAGTGTAAATTCACCTTTTTGGCTCACAACCTTCCCCTCAGCTCACCGGTGATTCCACCTCAATTAGTGGCATCCTACTTTTCCCAAAAAATGCCTTTAGAGAAGGGTCATCACCTCTGGCATCCATGAGGAAGTCTGGTCCATGGTTGGTGAAGATTTGGTAAACTATGGTTTTGTGCTAAAGTTAACCAGGAACTTTTTCTTACTTTAACTAAGTGTTGCCCAAATCTCTATAGAACCATACAATAGCTGACACCAAGATGAGATATGATCTTAGAAAAAAAACATGTCATCTTCGTGTGTCAGAGAAAATACAGTTTCATACATGTTATCATGCCCTTCTGTTACAAGAATACTGGTTGGCATACAGACACAAAAAACAGTCGGCGGCGTTAATGTTGCAGTCAAGTGACGTTAGACCACCGCAGAAGAAGATGATACAATTCAGACCTCTAGTTAAACCTGAAACAGAGATAATAATGTCGAAAAATATGGACATTTCTGCTTGTTTTATTTAGGAATATCAGAAAGGTTACAATTTCCTCATTACTAATTGTATATTGTCTTTTCTTTATGTTTGCAATATTAGAAGATTTGAACTCAAACTGAAGATGAACATGAAAAGAGGAGCTCATTGTGAACATATTTGTGACTTCCAAATATATAATTTCCTCATTATGTTGATAGAAATGCAATCACATTAAAAGCGATATACTGTGATATACTTTATGTGAGCACGGAGGGGTCTGCTAGGGTCAAAGTGACGTAAACTTTGCCATCTGCCCAAGTGGGACCACAGGGACAGCAGCAGTACTGAGCACGGACTGAATCCATAGAGTACATGTATGTAGAAAGAGTAGAAAGTAGCATCATTTGGAACAACATCCGTGGTGTCTGCAGCTGTGTGTGTGTGTGTCTGCAAGGGAGTATAATCAAGCATTAAGGCCAACTCATGTCTTCTGCATCTGTCTGCCCGCGAGGCAGATACCAGACGTAAATTTTGTCATCTGCCCAAGTCTGCGAGGGTCCGTGTGGACTCCTCTGTGGAGCGGCCCAAAATCTGTGAATGCGTGGACACACTACAAGCGGTCCAACTGCTCATGCGCCAGGAAAACGAGTAGTGCTCAAAGCAAATGTTCGTTTTGATGAGAGGTTGTGTGAGGAGATTGTCGGTCATCCACACGTTTAGAATTTATCCTTTAAAGATTTGTAATTGAAGTAGTTGCTGCAGGACTTTGGGTTTGCTTTGGCTTGTCCACACTTTCCACTTATGAAGGCTAAACAGACTGTGAAGTTCCAGATTCTCCATAAATCCTGTGCTATGTCCACTTACTGTACTGTAGCACGGATCAGGATTAATCTCTGACATCGTGCTACAGTACAGTCAGGAACCAGCTGCTATATCCTGTTAAATGTGCAAAGTCACTGACTTTCAGAAACATCCACATATGTCTGTGTTTGTCTGTGTCCACGTCTATCCACCTTTAAAGTCTACATCTGTCTCCTGTTGCAAATTAGTTGTATTCAAACCTCATGCGTAGCAAACCGGGTTGTCTCTGACTTTCATAGAGTAGGAGGGTTTTTTACATTTTTTTTCACAGTCTCCAAATTCTGGCTGCTTACTAAATCAGGAGGCTTTTATGGTGAAGCAGCTGTAGAAACACAATATATTTAGTGGTGTTTTGTTCAATAAAACATCTGTTGCACAACACAGTCTTTGGCACATCCTCTACACTGTTGTCAGTATTTTACTGCAGTTTATGAGAATCAACACATTATTAAGATAAACAAAACCTTTTGCCATGATACGCTGTCCTATGGTTAACTATTTGAACCAGCATGGCTTGATTGGTCTCTGATGCTCACAGCTGGTGCAGGTGCTTGATGCCTGTGTGCACACGCTGTTTTCCCACAATGCAATGTGCAAAGAAAAAGAGGAGGTGCACCTTACTGCAAGACATTATTGCACAGTTTGACATTGGTTTTTTTCTTTTCTTTTTTTTTATACAGTATAGTCTGGCATATAGTTTGGTGGTCAATTTGTATTCTTGTCTGAATGTCTCAGGAGAACTGTTCTAGTCTATATACTAAAATTCCACATTGCACCACAAAAAGAAACAATTGATTGCCACGAACAAGGAACAAACTAAAATGATTCACTGCAAACACGGAAAGATAAGCAGATTGAGATGACTGTCAGAGAAAAGTAATAATCTAAGTAAAGTCTAAGATTTTGGGGGGATTTTCCATCTGATGCAGCACCCTGTGAGGGGCCGCGATCACTTGGTCTGTGTTTCACTGCAGTAACAGCAATGTACAATCAGTTCATTAGAGACACTGATCTAAAACAAATGCAGAGTCCTGCAATGAATCCTTCCTCTATTAGGGTTTTTAATGTTCAGTTTTTGCTTGAACTGTTGTAGAGAGGTATTGATTAAAGTACATGTTTATTATGGAGAATGTAGTCTGCGATGGTGCTAAACTGCTTTGCATTATACTAACTGACAGCAGGTCAAATGATAGACAGACCTCCCATCATATGCAGTTTTAGTCAAAAAAAAAAAGCTTGGCTCATTAAGTTGTTTATCACATATGAAACTCCCCTGAATGTGTGAATACATTACATATAGACATGTGGTTTACAGATACCAACGTGCCAAGATCTCACATGTCATATGCATGTGATTTCCAGACATTATAAATGTAAAACTTCACGTGAGAAAATAAATAATACATTCTGTAAATGACAATGCATTCTCATAAGTATGTAATTAACTACCATATGTGGTTTTAGGGAACATTTCTAGTGTGAGAAATGAAAAAGATTTGT